ATTGTCCACCGACCTTATCAGACATGCAGTCTGTCATACTGAGGTCGACGCAGAGCTTGAGCCCCGTGGACCGAGCCTCAGCTAGACGCTCTTTAGTGATCGCCTTCATGACCCGCTTGGTAAACTGACGCTCTGTGCTAGCACCTGAATGTCAAAGAACACACAGGAAAGGGACAGATGCTGTGATGTCACCAGCTGGAGACTTTCAGTTCCTCCTTAAGCTTCTCTTTGTTTTCTCTTTACCGGACTCCAGCTCACGATTCATCTTCCTCCTCAGCTTCTCCTCCTTCCTCCTGCTCTTCTTCGCAGCCACTTGCTTCTCCCAGTGCCGCTGCTTCCTCAGGACATTCCTCTGTTCATTAACCAGACAAATAACTGTGAGCACAGCAATAATCCTCTCGAGCGTCAAGATATCAGAGGCACTGTTGGAAATCTCACCCTGTTCCTGTCATCCTCCTCTGTCACAGCAACCCTCTACATGTCCTCCTCCACTACATCCCTGAATCTTCTCTGAGGTCCTCCTCTTTTCTTCCTGCCTGGTAGCTTCATCTTCAACATCCCTTGTCCAATACATCAACCATTCCTGCTCTGCACATGTCTCTAACTTCACCTCTAAAATGCTCAACCTGAGTTGTCCCTCTGACGTCTCTTTATGTCAGTGCCACTGCCTCCAAACCATCATCGCTACCAGACCAGTAATCCACTTAAACTACAGGAAACCAGATTTACTTATAAATGTTGTCATTGTCTTTAATCCTGACATTAATCTGCAGTACATCATCAAATTAAGCGTACAAGCACGTGGTCCCACACCTGGGTGTACAAATTAAAGAGGATCATCAGGTCATCTCATATCATGTTGACCTCAAACCTTTATTTAGCAGTTTTCACACCCCTGGATAAAAAAGTGTAATTTAAAAATTAAGTAATTTAGTGATATCTGCAATTCAGATGATGAAGGAAGCCTCAACTGTTTCAAAATGTTAATAATAGCATATAAAGCTCTGCGTGGCCGAGCCGCAGACCCGCTGAGACCTTGATCCTCTGATCGGTGCTTCCTATGTGCTCCCTGCTCTCATTTTAAAACCAGAGGTGATCACGCTTTTCAAGCTGTAGCTCCTAAACACTGGAACAGCCGTCAGTTCAGCAGAATCTGTGGTTTGTTTTAACAAGATTGCTGAAAACTCATTTTTATAGGTTTGTTTTTCTTTAATCATTGTCCCATTATTTGGGGGTTTCTGTTCCTCTAGTGTGTGTGTGGAAGTGTGAATACAGGAACTGTAAGACCATATGTTTGATTATGTGTTTTTATTATGGGCCATGCTGACTGATCTTAATGTGTGCTTCCATCCAAACTGTGACGCACTGTGAGCCCTTTAAATGTGCTACACTAATAAAGTCACTATCATTAGTATTATCACTGTGCACTCACAGAACAGGGCAGGTCTTCTCTCCCGGGCTTGGGGTCCACAGCATCTGTCTCCACGTCGATGTGAAGCAGATCCATGAGCTCTGAAGTTCCATTCAGCTGCACTTCACTCGTTTCCGGTTTAGCATGAGCCATCCCAGCAGGCATGCCCTGCAAACACACACAAAAGAAACTTGACGCTCTTCTTTAAATGTCCACGCATTTCTCATGTTCTGTGGTTCATCTTGAGGTAGCTGCAGACTTTGAAACAGAGTCTGTGTGTGTGTGTGTGTGTGTGTGTGTGTGTGTGTGTGTGTGTGTGGAGACATTTCAGGAATTCCGTGTTTGTGTTGCTGTTTAAACCAAACTATAAACATAAACAGAACGACACATTAACAGCAACACTGCAGGTTCAACAGAGAGAGAGCAGCGAACATGCCTGAGCCGGGAGATGAGTCGCCTCACAGCCTCCAGTTACTGAACATGTGAGCGGCGCAGATGAATGACGTAAGCGTAAATAATATGGAAGAGGCGGGTCAACATGATAAAAAAAATAGGATTAATGCACTGTAACTCTTTATTGATCGGTCCAGAGCAACATAAACCCATTATTTGTTTTTTTTTATGGTTTTATATTATATTTAAAAAACGTGGACAAGAACCAGGATTACTGTCAAATAGTTTGCTTTTACACTAAACAGCCAGTAGAGGGCGGTGTCACTTAATATAAAATGAATGCAGACAGATCCAAAGAGTCTAGAGACTTTCTGAAAGGATAATGAAGCTTTTGTTATGAAGAGTACATTTCCATATCTGTAATTACTGTTGTTCTGGCACAAAAAAAAAGAAAATGCAAAACACTTGTCAAGATAGGAACAGGTTTACAGTCCTGTTTGTAGTCGGAAGACAAAAACAGGCGCACAGGTGACCTTTGCTAACAAATTGTTTTTATCATAAAAGTTTTTAACAAAAATATTTTTCTCATTTTATCTCTTTCTGTGTTACAACATGTATCGGCAGCATCCAGCCTTAGTGTGTGTTAAACAGATTGTTCCAAACCACGGCTCTAAATATGCGGATCAATCCTCTGTTATTGTTAGCATCCGAGGCTAACACGCGGCATGCGGCATCTCAGCAGCCAATGACAGACGTAGAGGAGGGGCATACCATCAGAGAGCATTGTGGGTACTCCAAAAGTAATTATTTATGTCACTTCAGAGCTCGCAGACGAGTACTGTTCGGTGTTAACAGTACTCGTTCGGTGTCACAACTACGATACGTGACCCAGTAAACATAAGCAGCACACACTGCTGTTAGCACCGTGACAGAGATGGACAGGGCCGTCATATTAGTAGCTGGGTCGGGGCGCTTGTTCGTTAAGACTATACTTTCAGGGATCATTTCTATAGTGTCTAACTTGAGAAATGTGTTTCTAAAGTGTGTGGTCTCGCTAACCACGATGATGAGTTGGTGATACTCCTCCTTGAGCGCGAAGCGGGCCGAGAGACTTGATTTAATTCATATGCTCTTTGCTTTTGATGACCGTTCACTGTTTTTTCGGAAACAGCGATGGGAGGAGTATGATCAGAGTGGTTACGAAATGCTGTTAAAAAGAAGTTGTCAATTCTATTGGTTGCATAGTCAGCAAAAGCTATGTAAGTGTGTTGAACTACTCGATTTTGAGTCACACCAAAAACCTCAAAGCATGTCTGTTATGCGTAGGTGTTGTGCGTCCTAAAACGTTTTTAATACTGCTTGGATAAATCTTGATACCAAAGCCTTAATACTTTGAATTTACAAAAGCTAACAGTGAAGTAGATTTGTTATTTTAGATTGTTTTCATGTGTTTTTACTGTGATATATGTTATGTAATTTATATAGATATGTATATACTGTCCATATATTACTTTATGCTTTAATTTTATATTTTAATAATTGCACCTACTCAAAGATTTAGATTTATCTTAAGAAAAATGTATGTTATTTGGGGCCCCCTTCAGGTGGCATAAAGAGAGGAAATGATGTGCATTTCACTCCATGTTAGTCATTACTTAAATGTATGGAGTGTCAAGAGTGCCAACATTAATGAATAAATGCATCATTCAAAATGTTAATTAAATTTTCATTAAGTAATTAAAAATATCAGTTAATTTTATTACAAAATATTTTTCAATATTTAATTAACTTGGTTTAGTTCCTGTGATGCATTGAAGCATGAAATAATTAGAAATGGTCTTTACAGCTCGGACTGTAACATTGATCGGTTACCCTGCACAGTGAGTCAAGACAGGTCGACATTAAAAAAAAAACGGATCAGTTCTCAGTGAGGTTTTTTTCTTTTTTTCTTTTTAATGATTTAATAAATTTTGGCATTTCTTCATAAAATCAGCATGATGGATCTAATAACTATCGTTTAGCTTGACTGAGTTGTGTAATAGCTGGTTTTCCTTCTTCATTATCTGACAGTTTATTTATTTACTCAGGTGATGTGAGTGAAGTATTCTCTGTGTACATCAAATGCAAGTTATTTGTGAAGTTTAAAGTAGGTTTGGAATACAAGTAGCAGCTCTGTTCTAATTCTTTATCATCTGCCTTGTAGTCCTGTGTCCTTCATTTTCACAGAATACATTGCGTTATTGTGAAAAATTCATCCTAAAAATATGCACGAAGAAAGAAAAAAGATAACAGTCAGCATGAAGCGAGCAGATCCTGATTTTACTAAACCAATAAAGGACGAAACTGAGATTTTGGGTTCATGATGGGACCACGCCTGAGGCGGCAGAGAAATCATTTCAGAGAGCCAGTGGTGAGCCGTTCTGTGACATGACAAGAATCAAATGTTCCACCATGCAGAATGAACATTTTGATTGCATCACCACTAGACAACATTGCAATTGGTCAGATGTGTTTAAAAGCATCCGAAACATCAGAAAAATTGAACTTGATCTGAAAAAATGAAAGCCCCTAAGTCGCTGGATGCAAAATAATTTTCTCTCTCTCTCTTTTTAACAATGTAAGAGTGTTGAGTTATTATACTGAATCACTCACAAACACTTAAAATAGAAACACTGACACAAGCTTTGCATTTAACTGTCATTAATAACTTTCACAAAGTGTAAAAACAAAGTTGCATCAAAGTTTGAATGAAATTGTTTCCATACTGTTTATTTGTATTTAAACATTACACTGAAAACAACAATAAACTAGCAGAGCCCCATTTTCAACAATATATTTTAGATGTTTAGCAGTAATGTGCTACCCCAGTACACGCTAGAAAGCCTTTTAGTCTGGATGTTATTAGTATGTATGCAATAAGAGAGGAAGGCCAAAAAATGCCTTCAGTTCACTGATAGTTTTACAAAAGCAGAAACACTTAAACAGATGTTAAGAGGTCGAGTCACAATCATTGTTTTGTATACAAAATCTTCTCCTTTTCACTCAAAGTGACTTTAAATACAAAAAATAAAAACAGCTAAAGAGCTGCTGTTAAAACTTCCATAAGGAGACATCATTTTAAGGAAATAAACGTATTGTATTGGTGATTAGACCCTGATGGCCCATCACAGCAGAACAGAACAGGACCTCCTGGAGTCTAGATGCTGGTGGCGGAGATGAAGATGGAGGCTTGGATGGAGCCTGAGTAACATGGGTAAGGCGGAGATGGAGCTGGGTTGCACGAGGGCAAATGTAAGGGAGAATAACACATGAGCAGTGAGGTTTAAAGACTGTGGAATGAAGGCTGATTGCCCTGAACAGACTGGCAGAAAGATGATTGGACAACACCAGTGATGTCACATTGAGCTTGACAACATGGGAAAGTGGAAGTGATGTAAAACAGACACTGTTTTGACTTCCCTTCATTGGCTCCCTGTTAAATCCAGAATTGAATTCAAAATCCTGCTCCTCACATACAAGGTCTTAAATAATCAGGCCCCATCTTATCTTAATGACCTTGTAGTACCATATCACCCTATTAGAGCACTTCACTCTCGCTCTGCAGGCCTACTTGTTGTTCCTAGAGTATTTAAAAGTAGAATGGGAGGCAGAGCCTTCAGTTTTCAGGCCCCTCTTCTGTGGAACCAGCTTCCAGTTTGGATTCAGGAGACAGACACTATCTCTACTTTTAAGATTAGGCTTAAAACTTTCCTTTTTGCTAAAGCATATAGTTAGGGCTGGACCAGGTGACCCTGAATCCTCCCTTAGTTATGCTGCAATAGGCATAGGCTGCCGGGGGATGCCCATGATGCATTGAGTTTTTCCTTTCCAGTCACCTTCCTCACTCACTATGTATTAACAGACCTCTCTGCATTGAATCATATCTGTTATTAACCTCTGTCTCTCTTCCACAGCATGTCTTTTATCCTGTCTTCCTTCTCTCACCCCAACCGGTCGCAGCAGATGGCCGCCCCTCAATGGATTGGATTGACATTATTGTAGTCAGAGGTCTGCTCTGCGTTGCCTTGTTGACATGATCAAATGAAAGCATTTCAAAACAAACACCACCATATGTCCACAAATGCATTTATTATCAGTGAGAATAATTACCAATATATATTTTGCATTTCAAATCTCACATTTTGTGCACTCACTTGTCTTGTTAATGACTCTGAGCTGAATCACTGATGTGACATTGATGTAATCACCTTCTGCTGGACCTGAAATAATAATTTTAATCACTTTCATGTATAATCATTCAGTTTCTATATTAATGAAAGTGTATACTTTACCATTTTCAGTGTTTTCACATCTTCTGACTGTCTCATAGACAGAACGAACACCTGCAGGTCAGAGAAAATCAGTCACCTCATGTCTGTGATACTAATTTAAACACAAATATTCTTGCAAATAACATTTATATGAAAAGCTGCAGCAGATGTAATAAGTACAGTCTTGTTGCAAATAGGATCAGAATATTTGAAACTACGTGAAAAACTAACCATGAAGAAGAGAGGACGGTTGCTGCTGACCATCCTGATTGAGCGTCTGTTTAGCAGCACCTTTATTAAAAATGTAAAAAAAAAAAAAAAGACATTTGAACCTCATGATGCATTTGTGTCTTTGAATGATAAAGAGTTTGTAGTAAGTAAAGGAAAAGGTCTCACTGTTGGTTCTTCTGCAGCGATACAACAAGAGCAGGAGAATAATAATGAGAGAGACTCCACAAACCAGTCCAACAATCAACCACACAGGAGACGAAGAGCTGTCAGCTCCTGACACAGTTACAATAAACAATAATTAATTATTGATCAATTATAATTATATAAATAAATACTTTTATGAAATGGAGCAAGGTGACTGCGAGACTTAAATCAGACAATCTAATGTTCATTCTCAGTCATCAGACGTGTTTAGAAAACTCCATCAGATGTTTTGATCCTGCTCACCTTTAACTGACATCCAGCTCTGTGCTGACTCTCTTCCTGAGTACTGACACTTGTAGAAACCTTCATCAGACTTTGACACTGCAGAGATCTTCAGCTCCCCTCGGGGATCATTTTCAATAAGTTTGTCATTGTGATAGAAAAACACATTGGAAAGTATTTTTTGTGTTCTCAAACTGCAGCTCAGACTAACAGAAGCTCCCTCAGTCACAGGATGAACAGGACTCACCAGGATAGGACCATTACCATCATCTGTGACACAATCACACACAATTGTTTCAGTCACATCAGCTGGTGCACACTTTTAGAAAAAGCTGACAAACAATAATAAGAACAGATTGTACAAATGTTCATCATGAAGATCTGATCTTGGATATTTAAAAACTACGGTATGTGTCATATTTGTTTTACCACATAATTACTCCACATACAGCAAAGCTGGGACAAAAGTTCATTTGATGTCTAAATCATTCAGATCCAAGAAGTAAATGTATAATAACATACTCTGTACAGTGATGTTGACTGCACTGCTGAACTCTCCTGATCCAGACTCACACCAGTACACTCCAGTATCTGACTTTGATGTGTGGATGTTACATGTGGATCCAGTCATTCTCTCACAGTTATAATAATATAAAGGATCGCTCTGTGGAACAGTCATCACTCTCCACTCAGTGAAGTTTCCCTCACAGGTCAGTGAGACAGAGTCAGAGGTGAAGTGTTGCACTCTGTCAGGACTCACTGTGAGAGACGCTGCTGAATGAACATCTGGAAACGACATGCAGTGAACAGACAAAGCTCACAGATGTTACAATTCAAAATATCAAAATGATTTTAATGAGGTCAATCTTATTGAACACTTCTTGAATAAAGGTTACAACACAAAATATCTTCATTGAAAGGAGAGACAGAATCAAGCTGACCTGCAGACCAGACAAACTTTGGTTGACTGTGATCAGTGTGATACTCTGGGTCTCCTCTTCCAGCTCTGCACACATATCCTGCTGTGTGTGTCTGTCCATGAATGATGTAGGAGTCCTGTGCAGTCCCACTGCCATCAGGTAGCAGCTCATAACTGGAGGATTTCTCTGATAGATCAGGAACAGCTTTATACCAGTAGAAGCTCCATCCTGCAGACGGATGTTCAACCTCACAGTTCAGAGTTACTGAGGCTCCAGGACTCAGCCATGATGGAGACACAGTGAGGACAGGACAGGGTTTATCTGTTCAACAAAGATTTGCTCTCAATGTTTCGTCTCTTAACTCTGAATTCAATGTCACTAAAATGTTGACTCACAAATATTTATGATGAACTTTAAGAGTGAGACTATCTAAACATGTCAAATATCTCAACATGTACTAATAAAAAGACATTTTTACAAACTGTTTCTATTTCCAGGTTAAATGAACTATGACTCTACTTACTGTCAGAAACTGTCAGTGTGACTGAATCACTCCACTCTGTTGTTTCATGCTGTGAACTTTTCATTCTGCCCTTACAGCGATAGTTTCCACTGTTGGATGATGAAGCAGATCTAATCCTGTATTCATTTTGATTTGGAGCTTATTTCCTGCTGTTTGTTTCCCACTCATAATCCCACTCAGTGTCTCCTCCATGGATCTCACATCTGACAGTGATCGTCTCTCCTCTGTATATCTCAGACCAGTTTGGATACAGAGTCACAACAGGCCTGTTTGAGGCTGTTACTGTTCAAGAAAGTACAATAAAAACACATGAATGTCAAAAATGTTAATGCCTTTTGTTCTTCATCTTCCTCCTTAATCAGGAATTTATCGGACTTCATGTTAAACTGACCAGTTTTCCCAATCCTGACTGACTGGCTGTCCTCTGTGTAGTAAACTGGGTTTCCTCTTCCTCCTCTGCACCTGTAGAGTCCTTCCTGTGAGACACTGATTTGTCCATTTGACTGGAAAACTGCATCTTGTGTGGTCAGGGCTTCAGAGGATTTCTCATCTCTGTACCAGTAGTATTTCCATCCAGATGATGATGATGGGCTCACAGAGCAGGTCAGGGTCACACTGCCCCCTACTGGAACAGTTGTGTTATCAGCTCTCAGTTTGGCCTTTGGTTTATCTGCAGTTCAGTTTAGAAAAAGAACAAAAGTCAATGACTGAATCAAACCAGTTTAAATAATTTGGTGGAAATATGGAAATAATAAATATCACATAACTTTAATGGTGAAGCTGCAACAAACTGTACAACTATCACACAAACACAACACTAATCTTTCATATTTAATTTGCTGCATTTCTAAGTTAAAAACACACATGAGGAACAATCAGTGGATTTAATGTTTCTTAGTGGATGTGGTGGAGCAGCTGAGACAGATCCAGCATTTGTTCTGCATTTCATCTTTCATGTATTAGAGCTGCACAGCAGAGAAGTTACTCTCATATGTTTTGTTCTCTTCACTGTGAATAAAAAGCTGCTGTTCAGGTTTTTGTTGTTGGAATAAAAACTAAACATTTTACTGACCAACATGAAAGACAGTTATAAAGCTGTAAGAAAGAAGAAGTGCTTTTTCCTTATTTAGATACTCTGGATGAAAGATCTTACATGATACAGTCAGTGTGATGATATCACTCCACTCTGAGAAGAAATAGTCCCTTCTGCCCCGGCAGCTGTATCCTCCACTGTCAGACTCAGTAGCTCTGATGATTCTGTATTCATTGGATGTTGGAGGTGTGTTTAACTTGGCTGCTCTCCATTCATACGTCCACTGAGCTCCTTCACCTCCCTGAATCTCACATCTGACAGAGACTGTCTCACCGCTGTATATCTGAGTCCAGGATGGCTGCAGGGTCACAGTGGGCTTACTGGGAACTGTTCACAGAAAAATATCCAGTTAGAGACAAATAGAAACAAAAAATTCTGCTGTTTAAAACATGAAGTAAAGTGAGAAAAAAATAGCGGATTCACACACAAACAGTTTAAAGACTGAACAACAAAACAAAGTCATAACATTTCATAGCTTTCAAACTGTAACACAACATTTTTAGTAAAACGTACAAGTATTTACTTGTACAGTTATCATCTCTTATTGATATTCCTGAGTTGTATTGATATCCATTTCACAAAGACGTCAAAATCAGTGTGGTAAAAAAAAACAAATATAAAACTTTTGATTGTTAAAGTTTTTTGTCTTCAATCTAGAAAAAACACAAAGAAAGCCTGCAGCCACTGGCATATAAATATCCTGTTGCTAATGTATTTTTTATAGTTGATAGTAAAATGTTTTTTTTGTAAAGATCCAATAAATTGATGAAAGGCTTGTAATGATTTTTTTCTCTGATAACCAGATGGGCTCTTTCAGAGTGCACACTTTGTCACAATGAAACTAAAGTTCTTCTATTTTCTCATTTCCACCTCTCCATGTAAGAAAACAAACCGAAGAACAGCACAGATCACATAACTTGATCTGTCTCAGTTTGGCAGAAATAAAATAATTAAACTCACGAGTTTCTGTAACTGTGACGTCACTGCTGTCCTCTGTGTAGTAAACTGGATCTCCTCTCCCTCCTCTGCAGTGGTACAGACCTCCTTGTGAGACACTAATAACTCTGTTTGCTTCATTTCCTCTCATGAGCTGAGCTTTAGAAGAGACTGAATCACGTCTGAACCAGTCAAACTTCCAGCCAGCAGAGCCCTCCACAGAGCAGCTCAGTGTCACACTGCCCCCTGCTGGTATGATTGAACTTTGTGCTGTCAGTGTGGCTCTGGGTTTACTTGCTGCTGATGTTACAGGAAAAAGTTAAACAGATTGTTACTTGATTAAAGAAGAAAAATGTTACAGTAATGAAAAAAATCACTAGATAATATAGTTACTAGAATCAAATATGAAACAATTATCCTGCAAATAATGAATACAGACTATTTGCCAACTGGAAAAATAAATACATAAAAAATTAAAATGAATAGGCCAGCATCCAATAAAATGAGGCTATATTGTAGTCTGCAGTTCATTAAAGTCATTAGGTGAAAAACATAATGTGTGTGTTGGTTGTGACATCAGACTCTTTGACTAAAACCTGAAACCTCTGAGGATTTAATAAAACAGATAATATGAATGAAAGATCTTCAACTTACTTGAAACTGTCAGTGTGACTGAATCACTCCACTCTGTTGTTTCATGCTGTGAACTTTTCATTCTGCCCTTACAGCAATAGTTTCCACTGTTGGATGATGAAGCAGATCTAATCCTGTATTCATTTTGATTTGGAGCTTTTATCCTGCTGTTTGTTTCCCACTCATAATCCCACTCAGTGTCTCCTCCATGGATCTCACATCTAACAGTGATCGTCTCTCCTCTGTATATCTCAGACCAGTTTGGATACAGAGTCACAACAGGTCTGATTGACACTGTTAATGTTCAAGAAAGTACAATAAAAACACATGAATGACAAAAGGTTCAGTTACCGTTAGATGTAGTGCTTTGTGGGAAGTTACATTTAAACTCACCAGTTGTGTCAATCCTGACGAACTGGCTCCACTCTGTGTACCGGTAGTAAGCTTCTCTTCCTCCTGTGCACCAGTAAAGTTCTCCCTCTGAGACGCTGATTTGGTCATTTGACAGAAAAATTGCATCCTGTGGACTCAGAGGTTCACCAGAATCATCTTTGTACCAGCAGTATTTCCATCCAGATGATGATGATGGGCTCACAGAACAGGTCAGGGTCACACTGCCCCCTACTGGAACAGCTGTGTTATCAGCTCTCAGTTTGGCCTTTGGTTTATCTGCAGTTCAGTTTAGAAAAAGAACAAAAGTAAATGACTGAAATGTAATCTGCTCTATTTTCCATTTCAATGACTGTATAACAAGCAATTATATATTTTATTATTATTATAATTTCATTATTTTCATTTATTTTAATAATTTTCAGTTCTTTTGACATTTTTACTGAGCATCACAAAGGAGGGCTAAACTTTTGAAGTATTTTCACTTATTTAGCTAAAACTGATAATATAGATGAAGGTCCAACTTACTTAACACAGTCAGTGTGATGATATCACTCCACTCTGAGAAGAAATAGTCCCTTCTGCCCCGGCAGCTGTATCCTCCACTGTCAGACTCAGTAGCGCTGATGATTCTGTATTCATTGGATGTTGGAGGTGTGTTTAACTTGGCTGCTCTCCATTCATACGTCCACTGAGCTCCTTCACCTCCCTGAATCTCACATCTGACAGTGACTGTCTCACCGCTGTATATCTGAGTCCAGGATGGCTGCAGGGTCACAGTGGGCTTACTGGGAACTGTTCACAGAAGAATATCCAGTTAGGAGACAGCCTACAAATTTTACTGTTTATAACATGAAAGTAAAGTGACTGAAACAGCTGATTCACAGACATGTCACTTTATGCAATAATCTTTAAAACACAACTTAAATATTAATTTCAGGATTTATTTAGATTTATTTAGAGCTTCAACTGTTTGACCCGAGTAAGTAAAATATTTTGAAAAGCAAGTTAAATCAGTCGTAGCTCCCTGCAGGCTGATTGTTACTATAAAAGAAAAATGCTATTTACAAGTTTTAATGTTTCCCAGGTCTGACTTCTTTCTGATCTTTTTCAGGTTGAATTCTTTGTTTGTTCGTGTTTCTAGTTTTGTTTATTATTCTTCATTCTTTCTTGAGCATTTTTGGAACTTTTAGTTCTTTTTTACACTTTAGTTTTGGAGTTTAATTTGTTCCCTCCCATTGTGTTTCCTGTCTCACCCTCCTGTGTCAATTTCGTGTCTGTTTCACTGTTTAGTGATTAATTATCACTTCCTGTTTTATTTTGGTAGTGGTGCCACTGGTGTGTGTGTGTGTGTGTGTGTGTGTGTGTGTGTGTGTGTGTGTGTGTGTGTGTGTGTGTGTGTGTGTGTGTGTGTTCTTTTGGATTTTTAATCAGCCAAAATAAAAGTTTGACTTTTTCTAAATGAGTCTGTCTCAGAGTCTGCATTTACGCATGACGGGATGAAGAAGTTTGATGTTTTATTTTCTGTACAGCATTAAATTGTATATGAGTAAATAAAATAATTCGTCATTATGGAGAAAAGATCACGTCATTTACTTTTTTCACATTTACTATTGTTTCAAAATGAATTTCCTCACCAGTTTCATGAATAATGACCGGGTCACTGTCTTTAACACGTCCTCTGCAGGTGTAGAAGCCGGCTTCAGAGGTCACAAGTACTCTGTCTGATTCGCCAGCTACTGCGGTCTTCTTAGAGTTTTTAGAGGTTTGTCTGAACCAGTCATATTCTAAGTCAGCAAAGTGGTTCACATCGCAGGTCAGTGTCACACTGCCCCCTGCTGGCATGATTTCGGTGTTTGCTGTCACAGTAGCCTTCACTTTCTCTCCTGTAAGTCAAAGATCAAAAGTATAAAATTGCTGCTCTGAATGTTTGATGCAAACTTAAATAATGTGAATCATTCAATTCAACACACTGAAGCTCTACAGAGACTTTGGAGTGACGTGTTACACAGCTTCTAATCAAAGGGGTATGGAGGTAACAAACTCTATGCTGAGCTCAGAGCAGCATATTTCATATTGGTGTTTCCTTTAATCTTTCATTTGTCATCTATGTGTACAGGGACAGAGATTAATAATAACTGATTATTGAATTATTATTAAATTATTGAACAGGGAGCAGGAGAAATATACTCTCCTTTTGGTAAATACAAGTAAAGAGCAACACATATGGTATAATTGGTAAGAAGAAAATTTCTCACCTGCAGCATTTCCATGGAGGATTGTGCTGAGCACTAAAACAATGAATTAAATGACATCAGATATTAGACAACTGACAATCAGAAGGTGCAAAACAATCTTTGATCTCACAGAAGAAGTTATAAATTCCAGGCACAGCAAGAAATCTTACTGGATCTGAAAAAAGCATTTCACACAATTAACCACGAAATATTAGTACACATAAATACATTGGATTGGTACACTTCTTTTTTTTTTTTGAACATTTGTTTTATTTGCTGATGACACACATATCTTGTACCCGGTTGTAAATTGCAGAAACCTTTGAACCAGATCACTTCAGAAATTAACAAAATAAAACATTGTTTGATCCATCCATCTTCCACAGGGCTGAACCATTGGGGCAGCAACCTAAGCAGAGGCTAGCTAATTTGACGATTTAAGAATACACTGTATATAGATAAAATGTAATTGTCACCAATGAGAAACATTTTCCTTCATCGCTGCCATTCAAACAGTAAAGGTGTGTATTGTACTCACAGAATAACCCCAGCAAACAGAGCAAAGAGTGCCCCATCCTCACGTCCAGCCCTGCACGCTGATCTGCATCTAATCTCAAAGGTTTCGACTTTGCATTGATAAAGAGAAGCTGCACTTAATGTAGGTAAGACCAGAGTTTATATTCAGCTCCTCCTTCTATCACCTCTCTGTGCTTCCTTCCTTTTGCACCAACCTCAAACAGCTCCTGTAGCTTTGACCACAGCCGCTGCTTGGCGTGTTCACATTTCCTGTCCACTGCAAACATTTACCTTGTTGCCCCCCTCCGAAAAACCATTAATTTGTAAATTAGTTGAAAAATAAATTTTTAAATAATTAAAAAAGAGCCAAATGTAACAAATGCAATACAACTTTAAAGTCATATATGGTATTTAAAATGTAATATTTTCTTTTAAACAAATCATTCAGAATGACTGAATCAGTAATGACTGATTGATCCTGCAGGTGTACTTCAAATAAGTTTTAGTTCTTCACAGATCTTCTCGTCTCTATTTCAGTGGTAAAGCTTTTCTAACTTATCAGAGCTCATAGGCATCTGATTTTCTCCTTTGGAGTCTGTATTCTCTTTAAACACTTTTTAATTAATTTGTTTTTCCTTTGGATTGTTTATCAGAGGAATTAGGTTGAAATTCTTCTTTCAGTCTGCATAAAAACATGTTTATGCATTTTATTTGAGTCACAGCTCAAATATTCCCATGCAGTTCTATAATTAAAAGGCTCCTCTGACCTCAGAATAGATCTGTGAATGTTCTCACCCTGTGGTGTGGTTATAGTTTTAAGTCTGGCCCCAGAAAAAGGAAATGACTCACTGTGCAGTTGAACTGAAGGTAAAGACCTGTATGTTTCACAAACTCAAATATGAAAGAGATTATTAAAATTTCATGTTAAATTTAATGTTGCGGCCTACACAACATTATGTGGGCATCGGGCACCATTATGACCACTTGCCTAATATTGGGTTGGTCCCTCTTTTGCAGCCAAAACAGCCCTAATATATCAAGGCATAAACTCCACTGGACCTCTGAAGGTGTGCTGTGGTTTCTGAAAACAAGATGTAATCAACAGATCCTTTAAGTCCTGTAACCTGGAATTTGGAGGCCAAGTCAAGTTTTCTTCTCTAATATATTCCACCCACCAGGAGGTGCCATGATGAATAGTTATTCAGTGTTATTTACACAGCTGATTGGTATATAGCGCACACATATTTCAGTATAAATACATATTTTGAGCATATAAATGGTATGAATGAATAGGAATATGTTAAAATAATGTAGAGGAGGAAGCCTTTAATAGTCAGTTTGACGGGGCCTGCAGAATTTAGGTTAGGTGGCCTCAATGCCTCACCAGACATTACACCTTTGGTTCTATACTTTACATCTTTCATTGTCCTTATCTGGTCTTTAAGTCTAACGTTATTTACCGTTTCTGGGTCCAAACTCCACTTCAGGTCCCAAAGTCAACCCAACACTGGAAAATCTGTCCATTCTATCAGCTATCAGGGCTAAACTGCCAGGCATCACACATGTAGCTTCAATTGTTCTTCCTCGTTTTAGTTCTGAAGGCTGATGAAAGAAAAACATATGAGATCATTGTTATTTTAAAGTGCTGAGATGGTACAGATAAGCCCTAGTGCTCTAATCACTATCTGCTGTTGTTTTCACTGATTAGTTTCACTGATTAGTTTTTATTATTAAACCAACTTAGGTGCAAACTCAGGTGTGACTTACAGATTCATTACATTATCATATTAATGTACTTCTACCTTAAATTATGTTTATGCTACATCATTGTGACGTTGGTTACATCTCTTCCACCAAAAAAACAACCACGATGTAGTTTTTTTCCTTTCAAATACAAATTCAAAATGAGAGTTCACTGTCTTGAAGGCCATCACTGCCCTGCCATAATGCTAGCTGAGCTACACTGGCACAGCCTTTGACCAGCTGGTTGGACTCTACAAATTGACATTATCATCACAGGCAAAAAAAACATTTCTGTAACACGCAGACAAACAAATGCATTAATATCAATAAAACATAAATGATTTAATGTTTTATCTGTCAAACATGCTTGAACATTTATAGCATTTCCATGCAGAGGCTCTTAAAGGAAGCTTATTTTCAGCATGACAAATAAGCTTTTCAAACCACAGGCTACATTTCCTCTTTTCTACGTGGCCCAGTTAGAAATCATGAGATCTCTCAGTGATAAAAATGAGCCTGCTGGAGAATAGATGATGAACACAACCAGAAGAACAAAGATATTATTCTGTATTGTCATCTTTGTACTTTGATATTTTACTATTACTTGAATAAAACATAATCACTGTATTTCTTTGCAGGTCTATATTTTTCTAAAATAGCCTCCTGTGAAGCGCAACAGATTAAAAAAAATAATTTTTAGCGTGAATCTTTTTAGTAAAGCGACCTACTACCGATCATTCCCCACCAATCAGTTTTACCTCTAAATTGGTTTTATTTGCATTTATTTATTAATTTATATGTAGACTTCATCAGATAGGTGCATCAGACACACAAAGAATGTGGGTAAAGAGGACGAAAGATTTGATGACATCAGATGAAATGAGCACTTCACTCATGAGAAGAGGCTGAGGGAAAGTTTAAAAACAGCCAACACTTGTGTCTTTTTCTGAAACAGCAAAGATCCTGCACAACATTTGCTTAACTGTATCCAACACACATGACACACACATTTTTAAAGGGGTAGGTTGAGGTACTAAAGAAAAACAGTGATGCATTTTTTTTTTTTTTTTAAATGAGCTCATTAATTCAGCGCTCTCATAGTGTACAAAACTCAGCCTTAAGGCTGAAGGACAGGTCTCTGTACAGCACTGTCAAAGCCAACCTTAGGAGTGGCATCAAAAGCCCCTGTTCCTTTAGTACCTACTCGGATCAAATCTCCACAGCTTGGACTGTCCAGTTTTTCATTACAATCAGGTACTACCGAATGTGCATAGCCTTTGTCATACTAATGCATCATAGCATCCCATGATGTAATTAGTATGTGACATGAATGCTACAACAAAGGTTGATGTCAAGGCAAGGATATAGCTGCTGCTCTGTCTGTAGTGTTTTGTCAGACTCGGGGGCCACAGTGCTGTTTTTTTTGTCATAATTTCCCTCTTTGCCAGGTTTCAGAAATGGTGCTTTTGATTTTTGTGAATGAAACGCTTTCATCACTCATCCAGTGATGCCACTGAATAGCCAATCGGTGGCATGTAATCTGAGGACATCACATTTTAAGTACCTGCTCAGATAGCTTGGAACCCCAGCTGAAAAGGGATAAATAGGCCAAGGAAGCCTACAGGGGTGCATATTGACTCACTATGCACAAATCAGCATTACACAAAAGTACAGACTGGACCTCCCCAGTAAAAAAGCTGCTTAGCATAACGTCAGAGCAGTTGTCACTTCCCATTATGTCGATCGCTTTAGTTCATTTTGGAGGGTTGTAAGCTGTTTTAAATGACATGAGTGCCTTTAAATGATGCTTTTTCAGTGGATTCATGCGCAACACTGAACAGCTGAAACATGTACTCTCAGTCTGACACACAACAACACACTTTATTTATATCACACTTTTATTAACAGAGTTACAAAGTGCTTTACAGAAAGAATTTATATATATTAAACATCAAGTAAAATGGTTAAAAACATAAAAACAGATCTACAGTACATTAAATTCCATTAAAATTATTATATAATGGTAGTGAAACAAGCAAAACACACTGCGCGATCCTTTCTGAAGGAAATATAAACTCAGGCTATCAGGATCATTGCTTTGAATTCAAAATATTCTCCTTTTCACTCAAAGTGACTTTGAGTTTTTAAGAGACTTTAAAGAGGAAAAAAAGAAAAGAAAAACAGCTAAAGAGCTGCTGTTAAGATTTTAGAGCTGAGGCTGAACTTGTATTGACATATTGTAGTAAGAGGTCTCCTCTGGGTCACCACGTTGCCCTGTTGAGGTGATCAAATGAAAGCATTTCAAAACAAACACCATCTGTTTTGTCCACAAATGCCTTTATTATCAGTGAGAATAATTGCCAATGTATATTTTGCAGACCGTTGTGGGAACAGTTTACCCTGCCCGGTATAGGGCTACCGGGGTCCCGCCCTCGAGCCAGGCCCGGGGAGGGTGCACGAGGGCAAGCATCTGGTGACCCGGCCGGGCACAGCCCGAAAAAGGGACAAGGGCCCATCTTCCCACAGACCAACTACCTACAGGGGGCACAGTAGGGGTCGGGTGCAATGTGAGCCGGGCGGCGATCATGAGCGGAGGTCGTGGCGGACCGATCCCCGGCTACGAAGAGTGGCAATTAGGACATGGAAGGTATCGGCTAGATAAAGTCGGGCTTACCTCAACGCATGGCTTGGGCACTGGAACAAGCCTCCTGGAGAGGGGCTGGACTCTGTCTCAGTCTGGAGTTGCCCCTGGCGAGAGGCGGCAGGCTTGGGTGGGTATCTTGGTATCCCCACAGATTGCTGCTGGTATGTTGGGGTTTCTCCCAGTGGACAAGAGGGTTTGTTCCCTGCGCCTTAGGGTCAGGGAACAGGTCCTGACCGTCATCTGTGCTTATGCGCCGAGTGGCGGTTCAGAGTACCCAGCCTGTTGTCCTACTGGGAGACTTCAATGCTCATGTGGGCAATGACAGTGAGACCTGGAGGGGCGTAACTGGGAGGAACAGCCTCCCGCATCTGAACCCGAGCGGTGTTTTGTTATTGGACTTCTGTGCAAACCACAGTTTGGTTATAACGAACACCATGTTCGAACATAAGTGCACGTGGCACCAGGACTCTCTAGGCCACAGGTCGATGATTGATTTTGTAATTGTATCACCAGACCTGAGACCATATGTTTACTTAGGTAAAGAGAGGGGCTGAGCTGTCATAACCACCTAGTGGTGAGTTGGATCAGGTGGCAGGGGAGGACGCTGGACAAACCTGGCGTGCCCAAACGTACAGTGAGGGTGTGCTGGGAACGTCTAGCAGAGGCCCCGGTCCGCGAGATCTTCAACTTACACCTCCGGCAGAGATTCAACAGCATTCCGAGGGAGACTGGGGACATTGAGTCCAAATGGACCACGTTCAGCACCTCTATTGCCGAAGCTGCTGCATTGCCGGAGGCAGCTGATAGGTACCGACAGGCCAAGCGGAACACGGTGCGGGCAGTGGCTGAAGCAAAAACTTGGGTGTGGGAGGAGTTCGGAGAGGCCATGGAAAAAGACTTTTGGACTGCCTCGAAGAGATTCTGGCAAACCGTCAGGCGACTCAGGAGGCGGTCCTCTACCTGCACTGTGTATAGTGCAGGTGGAGTGCTGCTGACTTCGACTAAAAAAAATTGTCAGGTGGTGGAAGGAATACTTCGAGGACCTCCTCAATCCCACTGGCACGTCCTCTGAGGCGGAAGCACAGTCTGGGGGCAAAGGGGATGACCTGCCAATCTCTGGGGGCGAGGTCACTGAGGCAGTTAAACAACTGCTTGGTGGCAGAGCCTCCGGGGTGGACAAGGTCTGCCCCGAGTTCCTGAAGGCTCTGGATGTTGTAGGGCTGTCTTGGTAGACATGCCTCTACAATGTTGCCCTCAAGGATACTTGAAGGTGCATGGGAGTTTCCCCAACCAGTCTACATGTGTTTTGTGGACTTGGAGAAAGCATTCAACCGTGCCCTTCAGGGGGTCCTGTGGGGGGTGCTCCGGGAGTATGGGGTGTCTGGCCCATTGCTATGGGCCATTCAGTCCTTATACAACCGTTGCAAGAGCTTGGTCCGCATAGCCGGCAATAAGGTGGACTCGTTCCTGGTGGGTGATGGGCACCGCCAGGGCTGCCCTTTGTCACCGATTCTGTTCATAATTTTTATAGATAGAATTTCTAGGCGTAGCCAAGTGGCAGAAGGCTTTAACTTGGGTGGTCTCAGGATCTCATCTCTGATTTTTGCAGATGATGTGGTTTTGTTGGCTTCTTCGTGTGATGGCCTCCAGCTCGCCTTGGAACGGTTCACAGCCGAGTGTGAAGCGGTGGGAATGACAATCAGCACCTCCAAATCTGAGGCCATGGTCCTCAGCCAGAAAAGGGTGGAGTGCCCACTCCAGGTCGGGGACGAGTTCCTGCCCCTAGTGGAGGAGTTAAAGTATCTCGCCACTGCACCTCCACATCGAAAGGATCCAGTTCAGGTGGTTTGGGCATCTGACAAGGATGCCTCCTGGGTGAGGTTTTCCGGGCATGTCCAACTGGGAGGAGGCCTAGGACACGCTGGAGAGATTATATCTCTCGGCTGGCCTCGGAACACCTTGGTGTTCGCCCGAACAAGGTGGCTGGAGAGAGGGAGGTCTGGGCTTCTCTGTTTGGGCTGCTGTCCCCGCGACCCGACCACGGATAAGCGGAAGAAATTGGATGGATGGATACAATTTGTATTTCAAATCTCACATTTTGTACACTCACTTTTCTTGTTAATGACTTTGAGCTGAATCACTGATGTGACATTGGTGTAATCCCCTTCTGCTGGACCTGAAATAATAATTTTAATCACTTTCATGTTAAACACAGCTATTGTATAATCATCCAGCTTGTATACTTTACCATTTTCAGTGTTTCCACATCTTCTGACTGCCTCATAGAGAGAACGAACACCTGCAGGTCAGAGAAAATCAGTCACCTCATGTCTGTGATACTAATTTAAACACAAATATTCTTGCAAATAACATTTATATTAAAAGCTGCAGACGGTGTAATAAGTACAGTCTTGTTGCAAATAGCGTCACAATATTTGAAACTACGTGAAAAACTAACCATGAAGAAGAGAGGAGGATGGTTGCTGCTGACCATCCTGATTGAGCGTCTGCTCATTAGCAGTACCTTATTAAAAATGTAGGGGAAAAAAGACATTTGAACCTCATGATGCATTTGTGTCTTTGAATGATAAAGAGTTTGTAGTAAGTAAAGGAAAATGTCTCACTGTTGGTCATTCTGCAGCGATACAACAAGAGCAGGAGAATAATAATGAGAGCGACTCCACGAACCAGTCCAACAATCAACCACACAGGAGATGAAGAGCTGTCAGCTCCTGACACAGTTACAATAAACAATAATTAATTATTGATAAATTATAATTATATAAATAAATACTTTTATGAAATGGAGCCAGGTGACTGCGAGACTTAAATCAGACAATCTAATGTTCATTCTCAGTCATCAGACGTGTTTAGAAAACTCCATCAAATGTTTTGATCCTGCTCACCTTTAACTGACATCCAGCTCTGTGCTGACTCTCTTCCTGAGTACTGACACTTGTAGAAACCTTCATCAGACTTTGACACTGCAGAGATCTTCAGCTCCCCTCGGGGATCATTTTGAATAAGTTTGTCATTGTGATAGAAAAACACATTGGAAAGTATTTTTTGTGTTCTCAAACTGCAGGTCAGACTAACAGAAGCTCCCTCAGTCACAGGATGAACAGGACTCACCAGGATTGGACCATTACCATCATCTGTGACACAATCACACACAATTGTTTCAGTCAAATCAGCTGGTGCACACTTTGAGAAAAAGCTGACAAACAATAATAAGAACAGATTGTACAAATGCTTTTCATCATGAAGATCTGATCTTGGATATTTAAAATCTACGGTATGTGTCATATTTGTTTTACCACATAATTACTCCACATACAGCAAAGCTGGGACAAAAGTTCATTTGATGTCTAAATCATTCAGATCCAAGAAGTAAATGTATAATAACATACTCTGTACAGTGATGTTGACTGCACTGCTGAACTCTCCTGATCCAGACTCACACCAGTACACTGCAGTATCTGACTTTGATGTGTTGATGTCACATGTGGATCCAGTCATTCTCCAACAGTCAGAGAGTCGGCCGTCCTCAGAGAACTTCCTCACTCTCCACTCAGTGAAGTTTCCCTCACAGGTCAGTGAGACAGAGTCAGAGGTGAAGTGTTGCACTCTGTCAGGACTCACTGTGAGAGACGCTGCTGAATGAACATCTGGAAACAACATGCAGTGAAGAGACAAAGCTCACAGATGTTAGCATTCAAAATATCACAGTAAAAATACTACTTTATCTTCTGAAGATCAGTGAAAATATTTTAATTAAGGTATTTGGTCAGTCAATCAGTGTTTACACATTAAAAAAATCTCATAGTTGTTAAAGCAACAATAACTTTATACATACAATAATACAACATTAAATGAAGTCACTTGCACTGAACCATCTGGGTCTCTCAGTAATAATCTCGGGCATCATTAGAAGCTACTTGAAGTTTTTGTAAACCTGCTTTCCTGTAGTTTGTCCACAGTGTGCAGTACACAGAGGTGTACAGTATGCGCTACACAAATCTTCACACTATCCGAATGCACTAAATCTGTGTAAGAGAGTGTTTGCTTGTGTTTACATCATTCAGCCAACAAATGTCTTCATCATCTGTCATGTGATCTGTACTAAGATGTCCAACATATGTAAATGGACTGATTCTTATATAGCGCTTTTCGACTCTCATGGAGTACTCAAAGCGCTCTATACAACATGCCTCATTCACCCAATCACACCCATTCTCACAAGCACTTTATCTATACATAGTGCTTTCTAAGTACGATGGATGCATTGGAGAGCAAGTTGGGGTTAGTATCTTGCCCAAAGATACTTGACATGCAGACTGGAGAAGCCAGGGATCGAACCACCAACCTTCCAATCAGTAGGTGTCCAGCTCTACCTCCTGAGCTACAGCCACCCTGTGACGTTATTACAGATCAAAGATTACAAACTGACCTGCAGACCAGACAAACTTTGGTTGACTGTGATCAGTGTGATACTCTGGGTCTCCTCTTCCAGCTCTGCACACATATCCTGCTGTGTGTGTCTGTCCATGAATGATGTAGGAGTCCTGTGCAGTCCCACTGCCATCAGGTAGCAGCTCATAACTGGAGGATTTCTCTGATAGATCAGGAACAGCTTTATACCAGTAGAAGCTCCATCCTGCAGACGGATGTTCAACCTCACAGTTCAGAGTTACCGAGGCTCCAGGACTCAGCCATGATGGAGACACAGTGAGGACAGGATCTGTTCAACAAAGATTTTCTCTCAATGTTTCGTCTCTTAACTCTGAATTCAATGTCACAAAAAATATTGACTCACAATTGGAGATTGAGTATCAGAATTTCAGGAGTGAAACCATGCCTCCAAACAGGCTCCTTCCAGCTCTCATCTATATAGGTTCTCCCAGTTCCACAAGCGGTTCATTCTCATTTACGTTCCCCACACTCCCTCCCCTTTTCAATTCAACTCCTTTGCTTCTATTTAGTACATGGGGATCTGTCATGCCCGGGAAACGCCGGGACTGGCATTTATTCATTTGTTCGGCAACATAATACCCTATAAATTCTATGAATGCATAGTTCAAATGCTATAATAAGACCATTTGAATTTTGAAGCATAATTTGAAGCAAAACAAATTTTTTTGATCAGTAATAAGAATGTAACCCAGTTAATTCTGTATTGATGTTTTGGGGGGGGGGGGGGGTATATTTATATTTTTATGATTTTTTTATTTAAATGTATTATAACTATAGTTTATTTTTATAAGAAGGATACAATTAGGACTGTACATCAAAACAAAGTCACAATATATTAATTTATAACTTTCAAACTGTAACTGTAAGAGTTTTAGTAAAATGTGCGGTATTTACTTTTACATAACAGTGTCCAAAAAAAGAAGGCCATATTGTCGATTGCAGTTCATCCATCCATCCATCTTCATCCGCTTTATCCGAGGCCGGGTCGCGGGGGCAGCAGCAAAAGCAAAGAGGCCCAGACCTCCCTCTCCCCAGCCACCTCCTCCAGCTTATCCGGGGGAATACCAAGGCGTTCCCAGGCCAGCCGAGAGATATAATCTCTCCAGCGTGTCCTGGGTCTGCCCGGGCCTCCTCCCGGTGGACATGCCCGGAACACCTCACCCAGGAGGCGCCCAGGGGGCATCCTTGTCAGATGCCCGAACCACCTCAGCTGGCTCCTTTCGATGTGGAGCAGCAGCTGCTCTACTCTGAGCCCCTCCCGGATGGCCGAACTTCTCACCCTATCTCTAAGGGAGAGGCCAGCCACCCTTCGGAGGAAGCTCATTTCTGCCGCTTGTATCCGCGATCTCGTTCTTTCGGTCACTACCCACAGCTCGTGGCCATAGGTGAGGGTAGGGACGTAGATCGACCGGTAAATTGAGAGCTTCGCTTTTACACTCAGCTCCCTCTTCACCACGACGGACCGGTGCAGCGTCCGCATTACTGCAGCTGCAGCCCCAATCCGTCTGTCGATCTCCGGCTCCCTTCTCCCATCACTCGCGAACAAGACCCCGAGATACTTTAACTCCTCCACTTGGGGCAGGAACTCATCCCCGACCCGGAGTGGGCACTCCACCCTTTTCCAGCTGAGAACCATGGCCTCAGATTTGGAGGTGCTGATCCTCATTCCCGCTGCTTCACACTCGGCTGCGAACCGTTCCAGTGCGAGCTGGAGGCCCTCACCCGATGAAGCCAACAGAACCACATCATCCGCAAAAATCAGAGATGAGATTCTGAGGCCACCAAAGCGAAAGCCCTCCGCCACTTGGCTGCGCCTAGAAATCCTGTCCATAAAAATTATGAACAGAACCGGAGACAAAGGGCAGCCCTGGCGGAGCCCATGACCCACCGGGAACGAGTCCGCCTTATTGCCGGCAATGCGAACCAAGCTCTTGCAACGGTTGTATAGGGATCGAATGGCCCGTAGCAATGGGCCAAACACCCCATACTCCCGCAACACCTCCCACAGGACACCCCGAGGGACACGGTCGAATGCCTTCTCCAAGTCCACAAAACACATGTAGACTGGTTGGGCAAACTCCCATGCACCCTCAAGTATCCTCGAGAGAATAAAGAGCTGGTCCAGTGTTCCGCGACCAGGACAAAAACCGCATTGTTCCTCCTGTATCCGAGGTTCGACTAGCGGACGAACTCTCCTTTCCAGCACCCTGGCATAGACTTTCCCCGGGAGGCTGAGGAGTGTGATCCCCCTGTAGTTGGAACACACCCTCCGATCCCCCTTCTTAAAGATGGGGACCACCACCCCGGTCTGCCAGTCCACAGGTACTGCCCCTGATCTCCACGCAACATTGCAGAGGCGTGTCAAACAGGACAGCCCTACAACGTCCAGAGCCTTCAGGAACTCGGGGCGGACCTCATCAACACCAGGGGCTCTGCCACCAAGGAGTTGTTTAACTGCCTCAGTGACCTCGCCCCCGGAAATTGGCGGGTCATTCCCCTCATCCCCAGACTCTGCTTCCTCCTCGGAAGACGTGTCAGTGGGATTAAGGAGGTCCTCGAAGTATTCCTTCCACCGCCTGACAATTTTCTCAGTCGACGTCAGCAGCGCTCCGCCAGCACTATACACAGTGCAGGTAGAGCACCGCTTTCCCCTCCTGAGACGCCTGACGGTTTGCCAGAATCTCTTCGAGCAGCCCGAAAGTCTTTTCCATGGCCTCTCCGAACTCTCCCACACCCGAGTTTTTGCTTCAGCCACTGCCCGAGCTGCATTCCGCTTGGCCTGTCGATACCTGTCGGCTGCCTCCGGAGTCCCACAGGCTAACCAAGCCCGATAGGACTCCTTCTTCAGCCTGGTGGCTCCCTTCACCTCTGGTGTCCACCATTTGGTTTGGGGATTACCACCACGGCAGGCACCAACCACCTTGTGGCCGCAGCTCAATGCAGCAGCTTCGGCAATGGAGACACTGAACATGGTCCATTCGGACTCAATGTCCCCAGTCTCCCTCGGAATGCTGTTGAAGCTCTGCCGGAGGTGTGCGTTGAAGATCTCGTGGACTGGGCCTCTGTTAGACTTCCCAGCACACCCTCACTACGCGTTTAGGTGCACCAGTCTGTCCAGCGTCCTCCCCCGCCACCTGATCCAACTCACCACCAGGTGGTGATCAGTTGACAGCTCAGCCCCTATCTTTACCCGAGTGTCCAGAACATACGGTCGCAGGTCTTTGATACGATTACAAAATCGATCATCGACCTACGGCCTAGAGCGTCCTGGTGCCACGGCACTTATGGACACTCTTATGTTCGAACAGGGTGTTCGTTATGGCCAAACGTGATTAGCACAGAAGTCCAATAACAAAGCACCGCTCAGGGTCAGATCAGGGAGGCCGTTCCTCCCAATCACGCCCCTGCCACTCGGCACATAAGCGCAGATGACAGTCAGGACCCATTCCCCGACCCTAAGGCGCAGGGAACAAACCCTCTCGTCCACCGGGAAAAACCCCAACGTACCGGCAGCAAGCCGAGGGATATTAGATACCCACCCCAGCCCGCTGCCTCTCACCAGGGCAACTCCAACTGAGACAGAGTCCAGCCCCTCTCCAGGAGACTGGTTCCAGAGCCAAGCCATTGCGTAGAGGTGAGCCGACTATATCTAGCCGGTACCTCTCAACCTCACGCACTAACTCAGGCTCCTTCCCACCAGAGAGGTGACATTCCATGTCCCTATTGCCAGTCTTGGCAGCCGGGGTCAGTCCGCCAGGCCTCCGCTCCTGGCCGCCACCTGGCACACAATGCACCCGACCCCTATGGCGCCTTCTGCGGGTGGTGGGCCTGCGGGAGGATGGGCCCATGTCTCCTCTTCGGGCTGTGCCACCAGACGCTCGCCCTCGGGCACCCTTCCCGGGTCTGGCTCCAGGGCGGGGCCCCGGTAACCCTATCCCGGGCAGGGTAAACTGTTCCCTCGATATACTTTTCATAAGGGTCTTCTTTGTCTGGTCCCTCACCCAGGACCAATTTGCCATGGAGACCCTACCAGGGGCAAAAGCCCCCAGACAACATAGCCCCTGGGATCCCTGGGACACACAAACCCCTCCACCACGATAAGGTAGCGATTCAAGGATTGCAGTTCAGACTTCATTAAAGCCCCTTTTCCATTAGTACCTACTTGGATGTTAGTACATAACCACTAGGGGTGCAACGATACTCGTATCGACCCCTTCGATACAGTGCTTTCGTTTCAGTACCCATATGTATCGAACAATACAACATTTTTTATTTATTTATTTTATTTATTCTTTTCTTCTGACGATGTTGTCTGTGTTGAGAGCTCAGTGGATCTGCATTCGACTACTCCGCCTAGGCTGCACTGTCGGGTGCAGATCCACTGAGCGCAGCACAAACTAGCAAGACAGAAGCTAAGCTCGTTGCAACATGGCAACTGCCTCAATGCTACCCGAAACTGAACCTCCCCCACCCTCATTCAGATCTGGCGTTTGGAACTATCATGGTTTTCATGTGAAGCATGACCCTGATGGTAAGCGAGTCATGGACAAAAGTAAAACAGTATGTCGGATGTGCCACGCAATGCTCAATTTGTGGGAACTAGTGCGTTAGCGCAGTTAGCTTGTTAACATGTTGACGCCGTCCAGCCCCATGCACGGGGCGATCCGTGGTAGCTTGTTAACGGAGATTTGCCGCGTTATGGTGTTAATGTCATTTTAACAAGATTAACGCTGACAGCACTACTGGGAACACAACGAATATGACTGCACATTTACGCCGACAGCATCCTAGTGCAAAGACAAGTGGAAGCAGACAAAAACAACAAGCACGCATGCTGCAAACTTTACCCAAGTCATTTAGACAGCCGTTAGCACATGATTCTCCTTATGGGGACCTGATATATTTAATATGCTGCTGAGAGTATAGCCCAGAAGAAGTGTATAGTATAGCTTTTATTTGGAAAGAGCCATTTCTCTGTATAAACTCTCCTTCCAAGATGAGTGATTCTCGATCAGATAGATTTTTTTTATTTTGTGTTTCAGCAACATCAATTAAAACTGTACTTTTGAGTTAAAATATATATTTATAATTTTAATAAATGATAAATTAAAAAGGCATGAACATTTTTTGTATCGAAAAAATATCGAACCGTGACACCAAAGTATTGAACCGAACTGTGAATTTTGTGTATCGTTGCACCCCTAATAACCACGCAAGTTAGGTAGTACTAGATCGTAGTGGAAAACCAGTCGATCCGAGTTGAGTCGTGGCAATCCATGGCAAGTCAATCTGAGAAGGTACTAATGGAAAAGGGGCTTAAGTGAAAAAGCAGTGTGTGTTGCTCATGAGACCAGACTCTTTAAGCCAGACCTGAAACCTCTAAGATTCATTTCAAAAACAGATAACATGCTAAAAGAAACTGAAGCAACTGCATCATATGTTGGTGCAACAACTAGTACTGCACATGTGCAATAAAAATAATAAAAAAATAAAGAAGAGCTGTCAATGGATTTAGCTTTTGATGAAACATCTCCAACTTACATGATACAGTCAGTGTGATGATTTTACTCCACTGTGTTAAGAAATATCCCATTCTGCCCCGGCAGCTGTATTCGCCACCATCAGACTCAGTAACTGTGATGATTCTGTATTCATTGGATGTTGGAGGTGTGTTTAACTTGTTTTGTCTCCATTCATACGTCCACTGAGCTCCTTCACCTCCCTGAATCTCACATCTGACAGTGACTGTCTCACCGCTGTATATCTGAGGCCAGGATGGCTGCAGGGTCACAGTGGGCTTACTGGGAACTGTTCACATAAGAATGATCCAGTTAGGAGACAAACAGAAACATAAAAACTCTGCCATTATTAACATAAGATTAGAGTGACTGCAAAACAGTTGATTCACAGACAAAATGTTTAAACATGAAAACAAAGTCACAACATTACAATTTCTGTAACTGTAACACAACATTTTTTGTAAAATGTACAAGTATATACTTTGTACATGCGAGGGCTATCAGGCCCGCTATGTAGGGGTGTAGGAATGTACAAGTTGACGACTGAGAGATGGATCTGGGTCCATGACACCCCCAGTGCAATTAACCCTGGCACCAACAACTATAAAAATGTCTTCACCTGTCTGGCTGATGCAGGTATGGAAGAGGGGCTCCAGGGTTCCAGTTCAAGAAACGGTGGCTGCCTAGAGCACACTGTGCTGTCAGACATTAACACAGCCTAGCACAATTTCCCTCTAATTGTCTATACCCAACCAGATAGTCAGGGTGCCCCTAACACAGAGTAACGTGGGTTATAAACATCAAACAGTTATTTTTTAAAGAACGTGAAACTTTAATTTGTTCTCCTGGCCCCTTTAAATCTCAACCATCCATCAGTCACCATGGGCTCTGAAGATCATGACAGGCACGAAACAAAAATACAAAAAAAAAAGACATCATGACAGTTAAAAGAAAAGATAGGTTCAATAAATTGGACAGGCGATGGTGTTCCCACTGTTGTAAAACCCTTGCTTATGCTAGTTCAGAGGAAGAGAGTTCCACAACCTGCTCTGTTTCCCTTACTCAGCCTTGCATGCTGTATAACAAGTAGGCCCTGATCCCGTGACCTCAGGGACCTGCTAGAGACATAGGGCTGTTACCACAAGGTTCCTGATAGATGATTTAACAAATGTCGAAAGGGACCAAGAGCGTTCATGATCTTACAGAGAAATCTGTCAGATACGGCTACAAAGCACAACGGCAGTGGTCCCCGAGTCTGACGGAAAGCCATAGACCGAGCAGCGGGTATATTCTTGCCTCAATGTCCACCTTTCTTGTAGCATCCATGTTGCAGCATGCTTGGACACGTTGCTTTTTTTTTTTTTTTTTTTTTTTTTTTTTTGCCTGTCCCATTTGGTTCTTTAGCCATCAGAATTGTTGTCTGAAGACCAACAAGGATACCCAATGGATTTACTTTGCCAAATGGATCATCGTGGTATTGCCGTATTGGTCCATTTGGTCGATCTTTGTTTTTATTATTTATTATTGGACACGTTGCTATGACGACAACCACAACCAGGTTAGGGAGTACTAGATTTTTATGGAAAACCAGTCAATCCGAGTCGAGTTGTGGCGTTCCATGGTGATTCGATCCGAGTAGGTACTAATGGAAAAGGGGCTTTTGTCTCTGGGTGACAGAGGTTATGAAAAGGCTGCGTGTTCACATACAGCTGAATGAAGTAGGGTGTTGTTCACTTTGTTCTCTGCGTCAGGTTTGTAGAATGTGCCCAAACTCAGGCCAGCAACGGGCAACACAAAGGTACGTTTTTAGATTTCGCCTGCCTTACCCAGACAGGACACTTGAGGCAATATATAGCAGACTCGACACGTTGCACACACGCGCCCATATATACAGTTAACATCTTTTATTGATATTCTTGTGTTGGAATAAGTCTGCTTTGCATAATATGAACTTGGAGGTTAACAAGCAAATCAGTGTGGGTAAACTGAACGTTAATGAGTTTAATAAAAATGAACATATAAAACTTTAGATTGTCAGTCTAGAAACATACATGAAGAGAGCCTGCAGCCATGTGAATATTATGCTGCTCATTTATTTTCTTAATAGTTGATGCTAAAATGATTCAAATAAACTGAAGGCTTGTAATGATTTTTTTCTCTGAGAACCACAAGGGCTCTTTCAGAGTGCACACTTTGTCACAATGACACTGAAGTTCTTCTATTTTCTCATTTCCACCTCTCCAAGTCGGAAAAAGAAACAGACAAACAGCAGAGATCACATAACTTGATCTGTCTCAGTTTGGCAGAAATAAAACAATTAAACTCACTGTTTTGCATAACTGTGTCGTCACTGCTGTCCTCTGTGTAGTAAACTGGATCTCCTCTCCCTCCTCTGCAGTGGTACAGACCTCCTTGTGAGACACTAATAACTCTGTTTGCTTCATTTCCTCTCATGAGCTGAGCTTTAGAAGAGACTGAATCACGTCTGAACCAGTCAAACTTCCAGCCAGCAGAGCCCTCCACAGAGCAGCTCAGTGTCACACTGCCCCCTGCTGGTATGATTGAACTTTGTGCTGTCAGTGTGGCTCTGGGTTTACTTGCTGTTGATGTTACAGGAAAAGAAAAACATTGTCACATGATTCAAGAAGAAAAGTGTTACAATAATGATCAAGCTTATAAAAACCTCACTAGATAATTTAGCTACTAGCACCAAATATGAAACAATTATCCTGCAAGTGATGAAGGAAAATTATTTGTCAAATGGTAAAAACTAAACAAATAAATAAATACAAAATTAAATAAAAGTCATCAGGTGAAAAGAATGAAGTGTGTGTTAGTTGTGACATCCATCTCTTTAACTAAAACCTGAAACCTCTGAGGATTTGATAAAACAGTTATTAAAAGATCTTCGACTCACTTGAAACTGTCAGTGTGACTGAATCACTCCACTCTGTTGTTTCATGCTGTGAACTTTTCATTCTGCCCTTACAGCGATAGTTTCCACTGTTGGATGATGAAGCAGATCTAATCCTGTATTCATTTTGATTTGGAGGTTTTATCATGCTGTTTGTTTCCCACTCATAATCCCACTCAGTGTCTCCTCCATGGATCTCACATCTGACAGTGATCGTCTCTCCTCTGTATATCTCAGACCAGTTTGGATGCAGAGTCACAACAGGCCTGATTGGGACTGTTAATGTTCAAGAAAGTACAATAAAAACACATGAATGACAAAAGGTTCAGTTACCGTTAGATGTAATGCTTTGTAGGAAGTAAAATTTAAATTTACCAATAGTGTCAATCCTGACGAACTGGCTCCACTCTGTGTACCGGTAGTAAGCTTCTCTTCCTCCTGTGCACCAGTAAAGTTCTCCCTCTGAGACGCTGATTTGGTCATTTGACAGAAAAATTGCATCCTGTAGTCTCACAGGTACACCATACTTCTCTTTGTACCAGCAGTATTTCCATCCAGATGATGATGATGGGTTCACAGAACAGGTCAGGGTCACACTGCCCCCTACTGGAACAGCTGTGTTATCAGCTCTCAGTTTGGCCTTTGGTTTATCTGCAGTTCAGTTTAGAAAAAGAACATAAAAGTAAATGGCTGAATCCAGACAATTTAAAGAGGTCCTGTGCTGGCCCATGTGTGGATTACCTCTGCCAAACCTGATCCGGGCCACCAAAGGGCCGTCATTCTTTGCACCAGTCAATCAGAAGTGCCAGCTTGATGCTGGATCAGGGGAAGACCTGTTTTCTATGGGCCTGGGCCACATAAACCAAACCACAATTGGGCCAGATATGGCATGCCATCACATAGACCAGGGGTCGGCAACCTGCGGCTCCGGAGCCGCATGCGGCTCTTTAGTCCATGTAGTGCGGCTCCGCGTGGTTTGGGAAAATAAATTAGAAGTATTTAGCAGAAGTGTATTTTTTTATGTTAGTTCTTTTTTTTTCTCTTTTTTTTAAAACTTGTAGTTCTTAATTGTAAGATTATTGTGATATTGAAATATAAAAATAAAATTATATTTTATTATTTTTTCATCGCTCAAAATAAGCGTCACACAAACACCGCTCACCCCTCACAGATGACAGCTTACAGTCCTGCGTAAAGATGAAAGCCCCGATTTGCAGACACTGTGCGCAGAGGTTCAGGAGCAGAAGTCCCATTGTAAACATACCACGGCAGACCCTGCGATGTTTCCATGAACACGCTTTTCAGCTTCTCTTTATTGACCACTTTTCACACACGGTTACTGTATGCATACAGCCGGCTGTAGCTTTTCAGCTCACAGCCCGACACACACCAACAACAGCATAGAGAGCACAGACGTTAAGGCGGCGAGGCGTGATTGCGGGTGCCGCTCAGGTGCGTCTGCTCCCTCCCTGCAGCAGCGCTTCAGACCACGCCCCGCCACACACATTAACCAGGTAAAATACATATTTTGCAAATATCTATTTTCATTTTTTTTTTAGCAGCATAGTGCTTTTTTTTCAATTATTTTTTAAAAATCAGGTCAAGGCTCCAAAAGCCCAAAGGTGATATAAGGCTGGAGGCTCACAACAGTTTTTGTTTGCTACATGGATCATTTTAGTTCAGCTGGGTGTCTTTCCTTTTGTTATATTTCTTTAAGAGTTCAAAATGTGTTCATTACATAAATAAAATGTAAGTTTCTCTGTAGCACTTCATGGATTTCATAAGCAACACACCTTAGTCGTTCACACAAAGCATAAAAGTAAAAAACAATATATACAGTGTTATCTTCATTTTAGATGTCAACAAGTATTTGCGGCTCCCACTGTTTTCGTTTACGTGGAAACCGGGTCCAAATGGCTCTTTGGGTCTTAAAGGTTGCTGACCCCTTACATGGCCTGGCCCATATCTGGATGACATACATCTTATCATGCCAGAAGTCAACCAGCAGTGCCGGCTTGATACCAGATCCGGGCCAGACCTGCCTGCTATGTGGGTATGCTTTATTAAAAAGGAAAGTTTTAAGGCTAATGTTAAAAGTAGAGATAGTGTCTGTCTCCTGCATCCAAACTTTGAGCTGGTTCCACAGAAAAGGGGCTGAAGGCTCTGCCTCCCATTCTGCTTTTAAATACTCTAGGAACCACAAATAAACCAGCAGTCTGAGAATGAAGAGGTCTTTTGGGGTGATTCGGTACTATAAGGTCTCTAATATAAGGTGTGAGAAGACTGGTTTTAGAGTCGATTTTGGATTTAACCGGGAGTCAGTGAAGAGAAGCCAGTATAGGAGAAATGTGCTCTTTTTGCTAGTCCCTGCCTGTATCACTCGCTGCAGAATTTTCATCCACTGAAAGTTTTTAAGGGAGTAATCACCTTGGATTTATCCAAGAAGCCAGAATGGGAGAAGTATGCTCTCTTTTAGTTTTCAAGTTCAGACAACATATATGATACAAACGGGAAGAAAGAAAAATTCCTCACCTTGAGCGTTTCCATGGATGACTGTACTGAGCACTAAAATAATGGAAGAAATCAGATATTATTTAACTGACAATCCGAAGATGCAGCACAACCTTTGATAACGTAGAATACATTCCAGAGACAGTAAGAGATTTAAGGTTGGGGTGTTTTTGATCTGAAAAAAGCATTTGACACAATTAACCATGAAATATCATAAAACTGACAGGTAACAGGCAACAAATGGTAAAGATGGGAGAGTAGAAATGAAAATGTTTTTACATTGTTTGTGGAGTCCCACAAGGGCTAGTGTTGGGACCAAAACTATTTCTTATGTATATAAATGATATTTGCAAAATGTCAGATTTTTTTTCTATTTGTTTTATTTGCTGATGACCAGTGTTGGGAAAGTTACCTTAAATTGGTAACTTAATTACATTACTAGTTACTTCTATCAAAAGTAACTCAGTTACTTCAAGTTACTCGTTACTTTAAAAGTAACTAGTTACTCAGGAAAGTAACTTTGGTTTTACTCAGAATTCTCTTGTTAACGTGTTGCTTCCGTAACTTGATAGCCAGCAAGATTGTCTTCTAGCACTGTGCCACCTACCAATAGAAAGGAAAAAATCATGTGCATTGTCAGGTTTATATAGTGGATTGTCATTTATGCTTAGAAATATTTACTTATTTATGCTTAGAAGTGTATAGTTGATTGCATATTGAAAGAATGTCTCATCTTAAGAGGTCTGTAACAACTCTGTGTAGCATGAAGAGGGGAGTGCGTTCACTCCTCTTCAGAGTGTTCTGGCATAGATGACACACTTCCTAGGAGAGGTCGTACCTTCTCTTGCTGATATATGGTATAGCAAACATACGTATATCTGTTTGAGTGTAAGAGCCAGGAGTCTAGCGTTTCAGATGGACCGCTAGACTCCTGGCACCAGCTTTGGGGAGTCTTCACGGGGTCACATCTTGACCCCCCATACACACACACATACTACACGACACACAGACAAGGTATTCTTTGTCTGCATGTATACCTATATGAAATGTCATATGTTAATGAACTTGTGCATATTCATGTAACCACAATAAAAGGAGCGCTACAGGGAACCTGGCTGAGAGTCAAGATCAAGTGGGCGGAACGACATCTGGCTCCAGTCGGGTCTCCCTCGTGCACAAGCAATACAAAGAACTTTGCCTACTTGTGTCTTGCTTTGCTGTGTAGTAAATTGTCTCGTTCCAGCAGTGGCCCTGTGCTAGACAGACCCATCATGCATATTTCCACGAGAGAAATCCCACGCCTCGACCGTCGTTGACCGCCGCCATGATTTTAGCCTACGCCACAATGTCACGTGCGCTTTTTACATCCAACACAAAAACTGCAGTCGTGGTGCTTTTGATTGTACTCAGAACTCAGAAATTCTGCCTTCCGAGTAGGAAGATGTAGGCAACACCAGACTGCAGATGAGCTGCTTATAGGGCTGGACTGGGACAGAAAATCGGCCCAGGCATTTTGACTAGAGACCGGCCCACCATTATAGGAAAAATCATAAAGCCTTGAATGAAACAAACGCTGTTGTGACAGTGATGTTCACTGTTTTGATGGTATATATGCATCAATCTATCAATCATTTGTTGTAAGATTCAGATAATTATTTGTTAAAAGCTAGACATTTTAAATGAGAATAAGAAAGAAAAGTACTACTTTGTGCCCCCCTCTCCCTGTTAATGCCCCACCTGCCACCCTGGCAAAACTTTGCTAGACCCGCCCCTGCACAGTTACCAGCTATCAGCTACATTTAAAAAAAAAAAGGATCCTGGTGTTATTTGTCTCTCAGAAACAGTTTAGAACTTATGTCAGGGTTATATTGTTGATTGTCATTTATGCTTAGAGTTTTATAATCAATGTCACGTTGGTAGAGGTTTGATCCTTGGGAGTCTGCAAAGACTTTGTTTGCATTCCAGAGTGTTCTGGGATTCACACCCACATCCTGGGAGCATGGGAGAGGTCGTACCTTCTCTCATTGTTTTGTGGTAGGATAAACATATCTATGTCTGTTTTAGTCTAAGTGCCTTTTGTTTAGATGAACTGCTGGACTTCCAGACCAGCAGGTCGTTTATGGGGTCCATTCTGACCCCCCCACACACACACACATACTTACACAACGCACAGGCAAGGTACTCTTTGTTTGTATGTATACGTCATATGTTAATGGACCTATGTATATTCCTGTAACCTCAATAAAAGAGCAGTGTTACGAGGGAGCAGACGAGAGCAACTGGGGTCAAGCGAAGGGACGGCGTTTGTCCAGTTGGTCTTCCTCGTATACGAGAAACATAAAGAACTTTGCCTGCTTGGTGTTCAATGCTTTTTGCTGTGTAGTAGAATTGTCTTGAACGTTCCAGCGAATAGGTTTATGCTACGAACCTATCAACTTCCCTTCAACTCATTCATGTCACCTAAAAGGTAAACCTGTTTCTCCATCACCTGTTCAGCTCTGATGATTCAGTAAGGACATCTCCTGGTTTCTTCATGTTTCCCTCTCACCAGATATCCAAACCGATATCATGACCAGCAGCTTTTACAGCTGTGGCTCCAGCAAAGATCAGCTGATACTAGAAATTGACATTGAATAAATTCTAACAACAGCTGATCAACCTTAAAAGTGATGCTGTTGTTTAACGCGACCTCCGCTGGTTTCCTCTTTCTGGCGCAAAGTGGGCAATAAACAAACAAGAGAGAAAAGTTGATCAGCTGATCATTGATCAGTTTCATGATTGAAGTAGAAACAGGAGAGAATGAGAGAAGAAGAGGCAGCTGTGCAGCAAATACACAGAATAACTCCAGCTTTGTGTCTTTTTCATTGTAGCTGAAGTCCAGGACAAACTGTGCTCCTTTTCAGCTCAATACGAAACGCGTAATATTTTCTCTGAATACGAGACGATTTTTTAGGGAACGGTTGGCAACTCTAATAATTAACCTTATGAACAAATAAAGTTCACATCAGTAACATCATAGCACACCAGTGTATAGAAACCCCGTCATGCTAGCTAGGCGCAGTACGAAAAGTCAGCACAACGAAATAACTCCACCTAAACTTGGCTTATATCTGACCAGATAGACTGCAGGTCATAACTTCTTACCTGAAGTTCAGTCACCTGACACTCGACGGGCGGCCGCCTCGAGTGTCTCCTCCTGCCTCCCCTTTCCCTCATCCACCTGCTGGCCTCCACCACTTGCTAATGTTACTGAATCTGTGGAAGCTCCG